CCATATTCAAGTTCACATAAAATGTGAAGGTGCTCTGTAAAAAAAAAAAAAAAAAGAAAGAAAGGAAATAGAAAAGTAGAATTGTTCAATAATCTAAGAACGAGGTTCTCTTTAAAAACAAAGAAAACAAAAATGCTGGAGTTTAAGAAATCTGACAAGAAAAGCAAACTAAACAAAAAAAAATCAGAACCGCAAAGGAAATCCAACCAAAGACATAGGTATTTAAACGACATAACAGTACATGCTTCTAAATTTGAAGGTGTGGAATTAGTGAGAAAGTAAATCACAGACATGGACTCAAAAATAAAAAGGCTCAAATGATCAAAATGCAAGAAATAAATATCTTAGGATTTATTTCAATTACAGCCTGAACCTCCCTAAAAAGTCTTCATGACAAATAATCTAAAATAAACTCTTTCAAACTTAAGAAACAACAAATCCCAAAGCTACATAAAATGTTACAGAAAACATAACCTCATGGAAAGTTACTAAATGAATTTTATGGGGTTAGTTTAATTCTGAAATCAAAACACAACAAAGGCAATATGTCCACCTATTCTGCATCCATTAAAATGAAAAACAGAAAAAACAATTGTTTTAAAAGTGTAACAAGGCAACCTTTTTACCCAAAACAAATGCATACATACCAATGGGAAAATTCTAAATTATAAGATTAAGGAATAAAATTCAACATTGCCAAGAATAATTTTTTTATTAGGAAATCCACGAATAACTGAAACCAAAATGAACATCTAAATTAATGTTCAGAGCCAGGCACGGTGGCTCATGCTGGTAATCCCAGTACTTTGGGAGGCTGAGGCAGGCAGATCACTCAAGGCCAGGAGTTCTAGACCAGCCTGGCCAACATGGTGAAACCCGGTCTCTACTAATACTACAAAAATTAGCTGGGCATAATAGTATATGCCTATAATTCCAGCTACTAGGGAGGCTGTGGCATGAGGATTGCTTGAACCTGGGAGACAGAGGCTGCCGAGATCACACTACCGCACACCAGCCTGGGTGACAAAGGGAGATTCCATCTCAAAAAAAGTAATCCCACCTGGTAAAAATAATAGAGAAAACTACAAATATTCCAAGTAAAATGAGGAATAAACCAAGAGCAGTTACAACAACACAAAATAAGCAGAGGTTTAGACAGAGGATGGAAAATCCATTTGTATCAGCAACATCAACAACGAATCCATCAGTAAATAAAACAAAACCTGAAAGCACCTGAAGCTAATACTAACCCCAAATGTCAGATCCTAAACATGAGGGAAATGGCTGACCTTGGCTGAATAATAAAAGAATAATTTTTAAAATTGAGAGGCATACTTTATGTCTAGATGGGATGGCCTAATAGCATTAAAAAAACAGCTTTAAAAATTCTAGTGCTGTTATTAGAGTCATGCCTTATACAGGTAGGCTCTAAAGTCAGCCCATAAAGCCTAAATTATAAAACCATACAAGGAAATGCTATTATAGCCACTAATACTATCATGAACATTTAGATCAGCTGACATGAGAAAATGTCTAGTATAAAATGTCTTCGGGGCGGGGGGAGAAAGGTGTAAACAAAAAGGTGCAGCATGATCTCATGGGTACACGTAGGTAAAGACACAATTATACAAAATAAACACTCCAGAGTAAGCAGCTGGCCACCTCTAAGTGGTGAGATCACCTGATTTTGTGCATTTAGAACTTTCGCAGAAAGTCCTATATAACTTTTATAAATTTGGAAGAAAATTTAAATGTAAAAAAGGGAAAAATAAATAAATACACCAAAATATTAACACTCTATGTTTTGAGGTGGCTAGATTGTGGCTGCTTTTTATTGCATTAACATACTTTTCTGCATTTTGCAAATATTCTACATTAATCACAAAAACAAAACTCTACACACAGATGATAAGACATGAACCAAAACACATTTAAAAAATTTATTTGGTCCTTATTGTCCTTTTGTGCTTATGCATGTCAAATTCTCAGGTATTCTCCTATTCTCTAACCACAGTATTACTTTTAGCATTAAATTCTAATTTTACCAGCAATCACTCCAATCAGAAAGAAGAGAATGAAACTGTTAGAACTGTTTGCACACGTGTTCAAATCAAAATGGAAAGCCAAATGCAGTGAAGAATCAAGAAAGGCATGACTCAGGAATCTTACCGTAAAACTGTTGTTGACGTTTTTGGTGCTGGATTCAGCCACGCTGGCATCTGTCAGATCCACTTCATCAAATATGATTGACTGGAAAGAGACGAACACAGGGACTAAGGCACGCAAAGACAGGTACATCCCTAAGCACTAGCCAGCGCTGCCCACCACACCCCGATCCCTGCCAAGCAACCACAGATGCCCAAGTACCTTGAAACTGTAGCATCCACTCAATACGCCAATCCAAATTAACCCACCCACCTGCTTATAACCAAAAGCTTGGGCTCACAGGTATAGTGCCATAATTTTTTTTTTTTTTTAATCCACGACCTTTATTTGACATTGCATCAGTGGAGGAAAAGAAAGAGAGAACCAAAGCAAAGAACTCAATGCTGTTATTTCTGTGTTTATTACCCTCAATACCAGTGTTCCCTTTGACATGTGAAGTATGTTCTCACACAGTGTTTTAGCTGAGAGAAGGCCGGGGTCTGGACTGAGGATTCTATGTCCTTCCGGCTGTTCCTCCAGCGAGCACATGGAGGGGAAAGGTCCTAGCTACAACAAATTCTTATGGGAAAGAGAGGCAGGTCCACCTAGAAGGGGTCTGGCCATGAAAGGAAACAAGAGAGCAAAGCAGAAGGAGCCTGAACCTGGAGAGAGAGATGCTCCAGGGCAGGGCTGGGAATCAGGCCTGGGGACCTCCCCCTGTTTCCCTCTCGATTCCCCCCAGTCCCCCCGCGTAGCCCCTGCCTCCTGTTTCCCTTATACCATCCCCTCTATTTTACGATGGCTCTATGTGGAATCCTGGAGAAGATCAAACTAATAACTCAGAAAACAGACTCAATCTTTTAAGTAACCTTCCCCTTCCCCTCACCCCAAGAGCTAACTGTAAAAGGTTGTTTTTGTCATTTTTTTTTAAGTGAGGGAAGTTGTCAGAACCCTTTCTAAACAAGCTGCTTTGTTCCATTTCAAATTTTAATGCAATAACTTTCCAGGGATATGTTTCAAAATGTAAATGATTCAAATTCCATATTTCTTAAATATCAAAATATTACTAATGACACCAATACTGATACAAAAATACAGATATTCAGAATCCCAGCCAACAACTGGTGTCTGAAGTCTAACACCACATTCACTTAAATATGGCAGTAATCAGTGACTTTCACTGGCTCCCCTTTCTCCAGCAGCACCCACTCGGTGCTTCCAGCTTTAAATCTACCTACGATAGGGCATACAGAAAAAAGGTTAATTGCTAGAAAGCCTAAAAATAAAGAATTTCCCATTTCTGTTCACGCACCAAGAAGCTCAATATACTTAAATAATTATTTAACATTAAGAAGATAAGATTTATATCCCTGTGATCCCCCCACTTTTCTGAAAGAAAGATATCCAATTGTAATGTGGCTATTTCTGTGACTTTTTCCTTTTCCCCATTACAGATGACATTAAAGGAAAATGAATAAAAATTAATTTTGTTAAGAAATAAAGCATGCCTTGAGACAAATAAAACCTGACAGTGTGGAGTGTTACAAACTCACTGGCAAGAACAGATCTGAAAATCGAAGCTTCTCCCATACAAGGACGGACTCAGCATCCCGCTTCCTCCCCTGGGACCCTCCCGTGAGTCCTCATGTGTGCTTTCCTGCATGGGCCTCACCTTTGCTGTTTTGGCATAGTACAGCGTTCGCCCTCGTAGCTTAAAGTATCTCCTTTTTGATCGCTGGAATGAATTGTTCTGTTTGGTCAGCATCCCCTCTTTGATGATGGTCTGAAAGTACAGAAACATATTCATAAACTTGCATTTCAAGGTGCCCTTTCACTCTTCCGATTGAAACACACCCTGTTGTGGCTGAAACACATTCTTGTCTCCAAGAGAAAATATTTCTCACACTCTCACCAGACCTTGACCTATGCACAGGCCCAGTGCGCTGCTGGGGGCATGGGGGATTGCATCAATCTTATCCCCTAAGGGGCAATGCATGCCTGTGTGGGTGGGGGTGTCAGGGGCCCAGGGTGTGCCCTGGATGCTCTTGTAGGTGTGCTGAAGGGACACTGAGGCTCACAGGACCACAGTACACAGCAGCTGGGAGGACACCGGGACACAGAGCAGTGCATTCTCCAACTTCAGCATTTGATATTTTTCAGCTATTCTTGGCCCTGTCCCTGTGTTCTCTGGCCCCCTGCCATTTCTCAGGATCTTGCTGCCAAAGCTGTCTACGTCAGTTGCTCTGGGGCTCAGCAGCTCCAGGCCTGCACCCTCAGCCCAATCTACCACTCACAGGCCAGGCGTGTGCATCTACACACACATAAGAGGGAAATACCTCAGCCACAGACACTGAAACTTCTCTCAACCCGAAAATCTGATGAGTTCACCCAATAACACAAGATACTCTCTTAAGAGAATCCAGAAATGGATTCTACAGTCCACTCACCTTGGCTCAATTAAAGCCACGAACGAAAGGGGCACTGCTTCTCCCAGAGCTGCTCTCCTACCTTACGTGGCCCATGTCACCGAGATGTCAAATATGTAAGGAGCTACTTGGTCATGAGATGCTTTGAAGTACTTGGAGCCGCTAACACAGTCAAAAAGAACAAAACGCATGAAGACAAGAACCTGGCTCTCAGCGTTCACACACTATGTTATGCCCCAGCTCACAGCAATGCCCAGTCCACAAGGAGCTTCAGCATGGAAACGGAGGGAGACTTCCTAAAAATTCTGTTCAAAGACAAGCACACTGATTCAGAGAATCTTTTGCTTAATTACTGAATCCCATATATCTCTGCACTTTATGTAAATGTTTTAAATAGCGCACGAACAAAGTTCTTAGGTATCTATAAACACTTAAAACTCCCTAAGATAAAACCAGCAAGAGCAAGTCACAGAAGGCTCATGTCCCCACCTGTGCCAGAATGCAAGAGCAGAACACTGCACTGTCTGGTCTGTCCACCGGCTGCTCACAACAGGAGAGGGAGTGGAACAGGAAGACTGTAGAAAGCCCCCAGCCCCACATACCATCAACATGTAGACAGGCACCAGGACCACACCCAGTCAGCACAGCACAGACCAATGCACAGTGTCCAGGGGTCTCTTCTCCTTATCCCGCAACAGGCCACCCTCACTATGCCCTTGCTGGGTTGGGGGGAACTGGCTGCATGCATGACCACTTCCAAGAGCTCCTTGCTCACCAGCACGTGCCAATCACGGTGAACTCTGCTTTCAGCACTGGCCCAGTGGTACAACACCAGCCCTTTCCAACTCTAGAGGATAGTGCAGTGGAGAGCTGCTGAAGAATCTACTGACTCATTCTTGGCTTATACATTTACCTCACACTTCTGAAGAAGGCACCCACCCTCTCCCCAGTAATTAAAGAGTGCCAGGAAGGAAAAAGAGAGGAGCCCAACATTATCCAACGATCAAGCATTCTGATGAGGCTTGTTTTCCAAAAGTGACTTCCCCAACCCCACCCCCTCCCCCAGAGACAGCAGGGATCCCCAGGCTACAGCTAGCATCTGAGATCCCATCCAAAATGGAGCAAGGGTGATCCAAGGCAGAGGGAAAGCCTCTGATCCTCGTAGCGAGAGGACAGAAAGCAGTCTTCAGTGTGAAGGACTGGGAAATGGTATTTGTTTCCAAATATCCTTTTTAGATTCAAGCACACATGGATGACACTCATTTCAAATACATCTGCACAGAACAATGCCATCCATGGAAGCCTGAAACATGCCATGAGACCCTTGGTCTGATGATCTCAAAGGCCTCACTGTGAAGACATCTCTCCTGGCCCCCCATCCATCTTCCTTACCTCTGCAGGGAAAGTAATCACTTCCATCTCTTCTCTAAATG